CAGGGGGGGTAGAAGGCCTGGTGGTAGTCCTCCTCACAGTATGCCTGCCCGCCCCGCTCAAAGAAGGGCCGGCCACCCAGCTCCTGCCCGCAGCGGGCGCAGGTGAAGTGCTCGGGGTGCCAGGTTTTGCCCAGGGCTGTGAGCACCTGCAAGGTGGTGGGGGAGGGCAGTGAGAGCAGCTCCAGGGGATGCCATGAGCCGAGGGGAGAGGGATGCCAGGATGGAGGCGTGGGAGCATACCTTGCAAGCGATGGGCTTGCAGCAAAAGCCACAGACCCCGGTGGGGGTGGCCGTGATGCCCAGCTCCTGCAGGTCCCGGGTGAGGCTGCCTAGCATGTTGTCCAGCAAGGGCTCTGCTGGCACCCCGGCTACCTGCCCCACGGCCGCTAGCTGCCAGGAAGGAGGATGGTGATGGCCAGGTGAGCGCCAGGCCCTCACCGTCCCTTCCCCCAGGCACAAAACTGACCTTGCTCTGCATGTGGCCCAGGTCGGCCAGGAGCTCGTCCAGCTGCTGGGCAGCTGTCACAGGTGGGGGCGAGGGGAGCAGCGGCTGTGGGACCGGTGTGGGGCTGCTGGACATGTCAGAGAGAGGGATGCTGCAGTTTCCACCCCGAGGCTGGAGGGTGCCCAGGACTGAGAATCCTCCACCCCTGCAAGAGACGCTGCCCTCTCCCCACAGGCCACGGCAGGGGACAGGGGCCCCCCTGGGGACGTGCTGGCAGGGGGTGGCCACGTGCAGTGGGGAGGGGGCTGCTGGAAGCCCAGCCCTGACCCCAGTAGTGGTGTAGGGATGCAGGATGTATCCCCTGCCTGAGCTCGTGGAAGGACCCGGTTTTGGGGAGGACATGTAGGAGGCCAGGTGACCCCAGAGGATGCGTCCAAGTGATGGCAAGGGTAGCCCCAGGTGGCTTTGCCCTCCTACAGCCATGTTTTACCTGTACACTGTCTTCAAAGCCTCTTTCGGAGCTGGAGCCTGAGCCTGAGGCGGCACCTGCACCCGGAAGGACAAACCCTTGTGGCCGAGTCCACAGGATGGTCCCCTGGCACCCTTCACTGGCTGCCTGGCACCGGCACCCCTGTCACGAGCTGAGCAGGATCTCAGCTGCTAGTCCCACCATGTTGAGATGTTACCTTCAGGGCCACTGAGGCAAGTGGCTCACAGCCACGGGGGTCTGGGGGCCTGTTTGCAGCCAGATCCTGCTTGGGGGAGCTTGATGTCTGCAGCATGCGGTCCTTGGAGGCTGGGCAAGAGCTCTGCTCCAGTTCTGCCAGTAACGCATCTGCACGGAGAGACCCGGGTCAGGCGCCCCAGCCGCTGGCTGCCCTCCCTGTCCATGCACAAACTGCCCCCTCGCCCAAGCGGTCTTGTGCCACTCTTGAAATCTCAGGAGCAAAAGCAGTGTCACAGCAGCTTCTGCCAGCCAGGTGCCAGGGCCCTAAGGGGCTGTGGTGGCCCTGAGCCCCCTCACCCGGATCCCCAGCCCCAGTGCAGGATCTGTCCACCCTGCTGCACAGCCTTCCTGAAGCAGGGGGGACTGCTGGCCACAGGGGTCCTGCTTCCCCCTCACACCATCTCTGGCTTATGAAGAAACATCCACCAGCCCTTAAATTCATCCCAGCACAAGCCCTGGCACAGGAGAACTAAACCTCAGTGATTTTTGCATACCCAGAGTGGTGCTTCCTGCAAGGAGGACGAAGCACTTTCTCTTTCCGCTTTTACCTCACCACCTTAGTCGTCCCTTGGCATCGCACTTCCCACCACATTAGGAAATGGGGGATGCCCCCCACAGCGTGGCTGCTTCCTTGACCCCATCTCCCCCAGCCCAGGCCAGGGATAACTCCCAGCGCTGTTGGGTGTCGTACCACAGCCTCAGGCTGCTCAGCTCCATTACGTGGAGCCAGGATTGCATCGCTGCCCCGGCCCATTTCCTGCCTTCAAGCGTTCTCCATTTCTGGGGCCTTGGTTGTCCCCCGAGATGGAGGGAGGCAGGGCGGGGAACGTGAGTCCATTGTTGCCCCCTCTGCAGCATCCCCACCTGACCCTGAGGTAGAGGAAGGAGAAGGTTCCCCAAGAACTGCTGAAGGCACAACCCTGCACTAAGCCTGGGCGTGGGACTGGCTCTGGAGGGGCCCGGCTTACCTAAATCCTCCATCCTGCCTTGGCATGGGGTCCTGGGGGCCAGAGGTCTGGGGCTGAGGCAACGCCTGCAGGACAGCAAACTGGCAAGCTGGGCCGTGCAGGCTTTCAGTTCCGCTCTCCAGCCTCGCCTCCTCCCCCCCCACAGGGCCGGGGTTTGTCACTTGGGTTTTTTCCTTTGTGGGTTGCACGCTACGCGCCACGTGTGACGGGTAGCAGGCAGAAAGCAGTGGTGGAGGCTGGGGCGAGGGGAGCCGAGAGCAGCCCTGTGTTGGAGCTGGAGGAAAGAAACTAGCCAGCATGTTGTCTGGGGAGCTCCTGACTCATAAAAACAGCCGAGCTCCTTGGGCTTCTCGACTGGAAGCCAGAGCGCTTGTGTCCATCAGACTCGGGCCCTTTCCAGAAGCCACCGGCCACATGTGCTGAGGGACAGCATCCCTGCGCCGGGTGGAAACACGTTTGCGACAGTGTGATGGAGGCAGGCACGGGACCTGCAGCGCTGGCATGCTCCAATACAGCCTCATCTTTTGGTGGGATGCTTTTGGAGCCTCATCTTGGATTTCCAGGTAATGGCAAATCCCTTTGTGTCACTTAGAGCTAGCGTGAGCACAAGGACTCAGCTCATTGCAGCACTGGAGGTGGTGGTGGCACTGATGAAGCTGGTGGCTGTGCTACGCTCTCCCTGTATTAATGCTTTGGGCCACTTAAAAATTTCCCAGAGGTGCCACATGTGCGGCTGCCGGGCACAGCTCAGCCCTGATGCTGCGGGTACTGGGGTACACCCGCTCAGCACGTCACCGCCGGCCAGGCACAACACCAAGCGGCAGACTGGAGCAGCGATCCGTGCTGGTAATTTGAACAATTTAGCCACCATTGGGATTTTTCTGTTTCTCTTGAGCCAGACTGCTTCAGTCTCTGGGCACCCTATGCAGCCATTTCAGGTGATAAGCCCACGAGCACCTGAATGTGCGTCCCAAGGCAGGAGCAGTTTCTGGCAGAGGCACAGGTTGAGGTGGTAGTCCGCTTGCCCCTGAGACACAGGCACGGGTCCCTTGCTGTTCAGGACCATTTGGGAAGACAGAGCTACAGGTACTGCCGTTACTCCTGGTGCCTCCACCAATGCCCAGCTCCTGTGAGGGTGATCGAGTGGTATTTATGGCTTGACTTTGTAGCAGAGAAATCTTTTGGCACTGCTGAGAGCAGCCACTGGATGTTGGAACAGCTCTAAGGGACTGGTTAGGAATCTGGGGTGGGGGGATGAAGTGGAGGCTGCTGCAGCAGAGAGAGGTAAAGAACTGGCATATTCATTGCACCAGTGGACAGGGGAATGGCAGGAGGTGGCAGTGCAATGATGCCCGTGATTAAAAACACACCCCAGACCTGAGGTGTAGACGTCTGGGATGACATGGTGTCCCACCACAACCTTCTTGCTCCAGTTTCTCCCCCAGAGTGGCTTTTCCAGCCTGCTGCGAAGGGGGTTCCCCACCACTGCTGCTGGTGCGCTCCCCCTTGCTGGCCTGTCATTGCATGATAAGACCCCTGCCCTGTTCTCGTTAGAGCCAGGTGTGGTGATTAATCCTAGATGGCACATGCAGGGGAGGCTGCACGTGGCTCGATGTGTTCTTTGTGCTCTTGCCTGGATTTTTGGAGGAGGCATCACCTTGTAGGTGCGTGGATAACAGACACCTTGGCTACCCACCCCCCGCGAGCTTCACTGCGTCCTTGCTAGGCTCCTTCTGAGTTCAGGCTACCTGGGGGTCTCAAGGATGCTATGAAAGACTTGGGAGCAAAAGTTAAGATCCATGCAGCTGGAGTCCGTGGCTCCCTGCTGTTTCTCCTGCAGGTGTGCAACACCTCTTGCAATGTCTCACCTCTGCCGTGCCTCCCACACCGTGAGCATCTCTTTGATCTCGCTCCCGTACTCTCTGCCTTTTGCTCTCTCCTGCCAACCTTCCATTTCATCCCCAGGGAAGAGACTTGTTTAGGAAAAAAACAAAACCAAACCACGTTCTAGATAAAGCCAAACAAGCCTCAGTTTTTTTTCCCCAGCATTGCCAGGTGAGAGGAGCCCCAGTTCTGTGGGCAGCTTCACCATGTCAGCTTTATGCCTCATCAGGAGAGCTTGCAGGAGATCCCCAAAGAAAGGGTTGCAATTGAGCACTGCACTGCCTCCGGATCTGTGATTTGCCACAAACCAGCCCAGAAACACAAGATGTGGCTGCTTCAGAAATATTACTGATCCTGGGGAAGGAGAGGTTCACCTCAAGGCCAAATAAAAGCAAGTGGGTCTCTGTGGCAGCAGACCGGCAGGATGCAGCCCTCCGTTGGCGCCTGGAAGAGGGTCTGCAGTCAGGACCTGTGAACGTCCTCACGGGCACCTGCGGGCTCTGTTGATGGCTGGCCCCAGCCTGCTCCTTCCAAGCCCATCCTCTCCCTGGGTCCACCAAATTCCCGCACAGCTGAGGAGCGAACGCTTGCCACGCAGGTTAAGCTGACGCAGTCTCAGCCACCCGTCCTCACATGCTGCTGATCCCGTCTGCACCACCAGCGTGGAACGGGGTTGAATTAAACCCCTTGGTACCAAGCTGGCACACCAGGGTTTGCTTAATTACTGACGCTCCGTGTTGGTGACGGCTCTTTTGTTACCTGCGCACGGTAGGGACATCCAGCAGGGCACCATCTCAGGAAAAGCCCCATGGGACACTAAACTGTGAGTACCGTGCGTTTCGGGACAAGAAATACGGAGAGCGGCCCAAAAGGCAAGAGGAGGCACCGCTTGTATCGCTGCCTTACGGCTACTTTGAGACAACAGGATTGTTGCGTCAGACATTTCCCTTTCTGCAAATAACACAACCTTCCTGTCTGTGAAGGTTTTGGTTATTTTTAGACTTCTCAGCGATTTGCTCTTCCCCCTCCAGTGATAATGTGAACCCTAGCGCAAACAAGTATCTGGAGCTGTAACTTTGTACCATAAAATTTCCTATTATAAACCACAAGCCCAACAGCTGCAAAGGGCTGAGCTGTGTCCTGATCCGCGCTGTTTCTGTGCGATGGTTTAGCCAACCCATTTTAACAAGAATTAAGTGACACTGTGCCTTGCCCACAAAGGAGAAATCAATCATGACAGCGACTTGAGAATAATGTCCCACATCAAGGCTCTCTAGTTTGAAGAAAAAAATAAATATTTTATTTAAGAATAAATGCAGAGTAATTTCATAGCAGAGAGTATGGGTTAACTGCAGCAGAACAGTTAGTTTGGAAAGTGATGTCGATCCGTTTTCCAGCTAGACAAGTCCTTGGGGAGAGAAAGAATACTTTCAGCCACTTACAATACAAACAGCAGTAGCAGACCTTACTCAAATTCTCACTGAGATTTCCTTCTTGAGAGAGAAATGTTTCAATTGAAAGAAAATTAACAGATTTATATCGGACTGAGAAAAAGCAAGAGCCAGCCAACCTCTCTCTGTGCTGAAAATGAGCCTCAAACCACCCAGGTAACCAACTCTGGAGAAGGGTTGTAACATCACCTTTAAAACCCACCCCTGCTGAGATAAGCATGCTGCCACAGCTTCTGCAGGAGGCGGAACTGGCAGCCTCTTGCCTCGGTCTGGAAAGGACAGAAGGAATCCCTGTGCGAGTATCTCAAACTTTTCTGGTTCTTTAGCTTTCGTATTAGGACGTACTCCTCCTTCCTACGGCCCGGTGTCTTTGCCAGGAGGGATCAGACCGTATGTGGTTCTCCACAATAAGATGGTTTATTAGAGTGCTCTCAGGAACTGAGGAACAGAGATTTGGACACACTTTTGTTTTCTAGTCATACATAATAAAGGTTAGGACTTGAAACTCAAAAGCGGGAGGGAATAAAAGGCAGACTGAGCCATCCCACTGATGGGTATCAGTTTACCAAACATGATTTACCAGCTAACTGCCTCAGGCTCTTTGAATTGGCTTTGTTTTTGCTGTCTGTAAGAGAGGGGATGAAGAGCACTTTGTTCTGCTACTGTGGTGGGGCACCCTTCCCAGAAGGGCACTGCGCACCCTTGAAACAGTGGATGTGAAAGCTGGCTTATGCAGAGGAGCTTCCCCCTTCCCAACCCTGCTGCGGGGGGGCCAAGGGGCAGTACACTGACCTCAGGAAGTACAGTGTGCTCTGCCTTTCTTTGGCTCTTTGTAAAGGAGCTTCCACCTGTTCCCCAGAGAGATTCTCCCCTCTGTAGGGTAAATTTTCAAGTTTTGTTGGGACCTCCTCATGGAAGCTAGAGGCCTGCAGACAAGCAGACCACTGTGCATCCACCCCTGAGGCAGCAGCTCTTGCCACCGTATCCCCTGTGTTAAAGGCTGCTCGTGCCTGACGCCTGGCCAGGTCTGTGCCCTTGAGAACGACAGCCCGGAAGGTCTAGTGCTGGTCCTGCGGAAGACGTTTTGCTAGCACGGAAACTTTCCTCCAGAGCTCAGCTTGCTCTCTGGCCATGTAGACTTGGTAGTCCACATTAAGAGGGGCTGCAGCTGCCAACTGGTAAATCCTCTGGCCAAATGAATCCAGCATTTGCAGTTCCAGGTTTTGGGGTGCTGGACCGTGCTCCCAGCCCACCTTCTACCTTGCTGTTGCTGCCTCGACTAACACGCTCTCATGTGCAGGTTGAGATGTAAGCGACCACATTTTCGGGGAGGATGTATTTCTCTCACAGGAGGGACGGTGTGGGGTGTCTGCCACGCTTTCTTTATCAGCTTCTCCGTGATGATAGGCTGTGAGGGCAGGGCAACTCTTATCGCAGGAGGGCTTTTGATCCAGATACCGGTCAATGAGAGTCCCTGTCAACTTCTGGAATGGAATTAAATGAAATCCAAGCAGTTTAGCCAATCTTTTCAAGAACTGGGGGAAAGATGGATTTTTCTGATGTGGGAGTATTACCTTCTTGTTCTTTTGTAAAATGGTAGGTAAGAACAGCCAAATCATCCTCTCCAAAAGAATCATAGCAAAACCCCTCATCCCTGAAAGCAACGCCCGGCTTCCAG